AGGGTATTAAGAGACAGGAAAATTTTGTTACAGAGAAAAGAGTACTGAATTGTTACATGATGTCTGTCCTCCTATGTAGCAGTGAATGCTGGGCAATCTTCTCAAAGATGAAGAAGAGACTTGAAATGTTGTACTACAGAAGGATACTAAGAATTTGAACGGAACGATTAAGAATCAATAAATTCTGAAAGAAAACTAACAACAAGGCTTCTACTCAGAATAAGAAAAAGAGATGAAATTTCTTGGATACAAGGAGGGCTTGGAAAACTTAACCCTCAAAGGTCATATTGAAGGCAAGAGAGATAAGGGAAAGCAATGAGTCATCTACTTGATGAGCCTGAATAAGGCGATGAAACAGTAAGAAAATGGAATGCATTTTGTCGGGGGAGAAAAACTTAACACATTGTGTGAGTTACATAACGGAAGCATAAAAATCAAGCAAGTAAATGGATCTCGTCTGTCTGTCAAAATGAGGGCGAAACTTGACTCGGCTAAGCGGACGACACGCCGCCAGTTTCCTATGGTCCAATGACGATGTCCTCTGACTGAGATGAGCTACTGTAACTGATTGCGCAGAGTCAGAATGTTACATATGGATGACGACGAAACAACATAGGATGCAGTGTTTGCTGTTCAGTGCATTAAAATAAGTGGCTGAGAGTCATCAGCGTTGAATTGGGACGTTTTTTGATGCAAGGACCACCTTCTTTGATAACTCACCTTCCTTGTCAATCTCCAGCTACCCCATCCTTGCACCGTCCGCAGTCTGCAATAGTCTGATGTACATCCGGAATTCACATATTTATACATTTACCTAAAAAAAATGCCACTGCAAATATTTGCCTGGATTCATTAATTTTTTCGTGGTCAAAATCCTATCTGCTACAGCCAAACTGTCACAGTTACACTACCTCTTTAACTATTACGTCATATATACGCCATCAGTCCATATCTACAAGTGATAGGTGAAATACCAAAATAAGATTTTGAGAAGGAAGAAATTCCTTCTTGTTTCATCGGATATTAATTTTAATGTATTTACAAATGTAAATCTGTATCTAATTTGTCATCGTTAAGTAGTTTACTCTCTGCTTCTTTTACCGTCAAGTGGATGTGCGATTCATAATGAGAAATCGGAGAGCCGAGTTCGATTTTCAGTCGGATTCGTTATGAAGAAATATCCTTAGAATGAGTTAAATAGTAAGAATGTTATCTATGAAAAATCAACGATATTGTAAAAAAAAAAATCGTTACTACTATATTCACCGGAAAAATATGTTATTCTTGCAATCCAACATGTATTCCGGCTTTAAATATCCATATTCACGACGTTTCGGTCGTTGTACGCTCTGGTCTTCTTTAGGATATGTTTATATTTCTGAGATGAGTTACTGTAATTATTTACATTATTTACATTGTTCGGGCGGCTGCATTCATCTTTTTTACCATATTCATAACGTTCCTAAGCCATACCAAGCATAGAAATGAATACAATATGGGAACTAGTAATACGGCGTGCTAGAGAAAAGCAATAATAACTACAAAATTGTAATATGAGCTCTAGTAAAAATTATTGCTGTGACAAAAAGTCATATACTGATGTCCTCAAGGTTACATGACCCAGTGGATAAAAGCGTTGGTTGGATCCAATGACTTGATCCAAACGGTTGCGAGTTCAATAAAAAAACAAACTTAGAGATTTGAGTTAAATAGCGATAACTGAGACATCTGGGAGAGGTATAGCACGTAGAACTAGAACAATCGGTGGACGAAATAAAGGCTTCAGTTCGAAATTCTAATCACCTGAAGAAGGACGGTGAGTACAACAACCGAAACCTTGTGAATATTGCATAAAGAAGAGAACAACAATCAACGTTCCTAAACCAGCCAAGCATAGAAATGAATACAATATGGGAACCAGTAATACGGAGTGCTAGAAATAAGCAATAATAACAATAAAATTGCAGTATGAGCTCTGGTAAAAATTATTGCTGTGATATTTAGTTTATAAGTCCCAAAAAATCATACACTGAGGTCCTCAAGGTCACATGGCCCAGTGGTTAAAAGCGTTGGTTTGATCCAGTGACTTGAACCAAACGGCCGTGAGATCAACAAACAACAGTCCGAACAATGTAAATAATGTTGATAGCTGTTAGTTAATGACCGTAGACTTAAAGATGTTAAAATGGTAGTGATTAGCAAAACATCCTCTCGAGAATTTGTTCCACAAAGTAGAAAGTTTGGGCAGAAGCTGTTTGAATCGTACATTTTTTTTTTTATCAAATAAATACGAAGGGACTGGGGTTGATTCGTTGCTTGGGGGCTTCTAGCTGTAAAGGTTTGAATTCAGAAACTTAACACTCGCCATGGAAATAGCGAGAGTCTTGCGGTGTTGTTATCTAGGGGAAAAGGGGTTGTAGAGTGAAAAATAATTCTTAAATGCTGTCAAAGCTGGAAAGTGGTGTTACAGTTTTTTGGGTATATACTGTATATATAACTAGTGAGCGAGTCAAAATGACTTATCTCCCTTTATAGTCGACCAATAGAAGGTTGACCAATCAGAAGCTGCACAACACTGTATCCGTCGTGTATAAAGGCGGCCATCTTTGTTTTCCTACTGGAATGACCAGAGGCAACTTGTCCGGCGAACAGGACAGACGGAAGAACTACGCTCTGCTACCTTGCTGCGATATCCACTGCTAACCTGAACTACGCTTTCCTACTGTCTCCGAAATATTCACTGCCAACCTCTGGATTCTATACTCGAAGACGACCGTCATGAAAATGTCTAACAAGTGGGGATTGTGCAGCGCCAGCTCAGATATGCTAATAATACGCTATTTATGAAAATAATTGAAACAGTTGATTCTCGAAAAATAGACAGTTGGGAGGAAAAGAACATGAAGAATAAATCAATTTTATTTCTCTGTTCTTCAAAGGCTGAGTGTTTTCTACTCATTTTATAGATTTTTGCTTAAGTAATTAATGGTTCAATAATCCGTAAATCTTGAATAGCGAAATCCCCAAACACGCCTAACCGCTTCTTTAAAGTATTTGATCGCTTGAAATGTTGATCCTTGGTTCTTCAAAATCCGTTCCCGCCATTAACTTAGACAGACATACACACAAATCCCCCCTCTCTCTCTCTCTCTCTCTTTCTCTCTCTCCCTCTCTCCGACAACTTAGCCTTTTTCTTTCTTTTTTTCTCTTTCTTTTTTTCTCTTTCTTTCTTTCTTCTCAGTTTTTCTTTAACTTCGTTTATAGCATTCTTTTTCACCTTTTTCCTTTTGCTTTCTTGTTTATTTTGTTTTTGTTATCAATTTAGCCCAAGCAAAGGTGATAATGCCGCTAAGACGCCACGGAATACTGGGAGTGAAAGACAATAAAAAGGCTTTCGAAAGAACCGGAAACCAAACGCTAAAAAAGAAACAAGGGATAAACTCTACTCCACCTCAAAAGACCAGGATGCGTGTGAAACGAGCGATATGTAAACCTCTCTACATCAACTTTTTTCTTTCTTTTTTCTTTCTTTTTCTTTTCTTTGTCTTTATTTCTTTTTTCACCTTTTTTCTTTTTATTTCTTTTTCTCATTTTTTCGTACATTCTCAGTTTTTCTCTTTTCTCCTTTTTCTTACTTTCTTTCTTTCTCTTTCTTTTTTTTGTTCTTTCTTTCTTTTTCGTTCTTTTTACTTTCTTTCTTTTTCTCCTTTTCTCTCCCTTTTCATTTATCTTTCTTTCTTTTCTCTTTCATCCTCTATCTTTTTCTCTCACTATTCTTTTTTCTTCCTTTCTTTTCCTCTCTTTCTTTCTTATTCTCGTTCTTTTTTCTTTCTATTTTGTTCTTTTTCAGCTTTTTTCTTTCACGATTTCTTTCTCCTTCTTTCTTTTGAGTTTCTTTTTGATGCTTTTTATTTCATTTTCTTTCTCTTTCTTCATCTTTCCCTTTTTTTGTTTCTCTTTATTTCTTTTTCTAATTTTTTGTTCTTTTCTCTTTCTTCTTTTTCAGTTTTTTTTTGTCTTACTCTTTTTCTTCATTTTCTTTCTATCTTTTTCTACTTTTTCTTTCCATTTACTTTTTTTGGCCTTTTTTCTTTCTCGTTCTCTCTCTCCTTTCTTTTTCTTTTTCTTTCTCTTTTATTTGTTTATTTATCTTTCTTTATCTTTGTCATTTCTGATTTCTTTTTCGCTTTCTTTCTTTCGCTTTCTTTTATATTCTTTCCTTTTCTTTCTTTCTTTCTTTTTTCAATTTTTCTTTCTTTTTCTGTCTTTTTCTTTTTTTATTATTTTTGCTTTTTTCCTTTTCTTTCTTTATTTCTTCTCTTTTTCTTTCTCATTTTTCTTTTACTCTCTACCTTTTTCTCTTTTTTCTTTCTTTCTTTCCATCCTTTTCATTCTTATTCTCTTTCTTTATTTTTCTCTATTTATTTATTTTTCACCTTTTTCGTTTCCCCTTTCTTTTTTATCCTTTTTTCTTCTTCTTTTTTTTCTTTCTTTTTTTCTTTAACACTCTATAGAATCGCAGATTTTTCTCAGTAAATCTCATTCGTGGTTCTGATTTCGGTTGTTTCTATCTGCTTTTTTCTTACTCTCCATCTTGTCTCTTATTTTGTTTCCTGATTTCTTTGGTGAGATTCTGTGTGCGTGTGTCTGTAAAAATGTCACGTTCTGTTTTAATTTCTCTTTTGTCCATAAATATCTTTCCTTGTTTTCCTTTCTTTATCTCATCATCGCTGCTTCTTTTTCTTTGTTCAATCTGAAATCATCTTTCTTTCTATACTTCTCTTTTTCTCAAATATCTATCTCCCTTTTCTTTCTCTCTCTCTTTCTCTCTCTCTCTCTCTCTCTCTCTCTCTCTCTCTTTCTCTCAAATTCTATTTTTCTTTCTCTCTCTCTCTGCATCATTAACCGGTTTCCTTCTCATAACTTGTATGAAGAAGTTATCTCATCTGATTCTTTTATTTCTTATTTCCCTGATAGTCTTCTCAAGATGCTGCCTGCTAATTGTTGACTAGAATTTACTTTCACTTTCACTTTCACTTTCATTTTTATATTAGATGAAACCTTGTCATCCATTATTTTTAAGTCGTTGATTTGTGATGCGATCTGTGTCGATACATTTTTGACCGGTAATTGAGCCGGGGTCTGTCGCACGGGACGCGGGGTAGCTAAATATTCTTCTCTTGCGAACAGATTTATTTTTATTCAGTGGCTGTGAAGACTTCTATGGTTATTGGCCCTTGTCCGATGGCGTTCCTTCGGAGGATTAGCGCGATGGCGTCTCGATTAAGGGACGAGCCTCGCGAAACGGAGTGGCTCTTGCAGCGTGTCTCAATGGCGATGCTGCTAGGTAAAAAATTGTATTTGTTTATAGATACTTTGGTCAAATAAAAACTTTGTTTCACGAAAAAAGAATTCTTACGTAGTATTTAATTTCACCCTCATTTTTATAACTGACCCATTATATGTGACTCGCTAGTGACTTCCATAATGTCATAAATCAGGTAAGAAAAGGCTTTTCTATAAATATTTTCATGATAATAAGCATTTCCTCCTTGGTGCCTCGCCATCACTAATTTTTTATATATTTTCCTCCGTTTCTTTCACTCTTTCTTGCATTCTAGTGTCTTTTATTGCTTTGCTTGGGGTGAAATTATTTTACAAGTCATTATTATGATGACAGCTTCTGTAAATTCATCCATACATTTTCAGAATTGATAACACTGAAACGGCACTGTGTTCTACGAAGCAACCAAGAAACCATCCTCAGATTTGAATCCGGAGTGATCCTTCTCCTAGACTAGTTGCCAACCAAGGCAAGAATGCCCAGTCCACCCCCACCCCCAACCGCTATTTAACCCATGAATGAAAGATAGCGAAATGCCTTTTTTAGTATTACCTCGGAGTGGACGAAAAAAAATCTATCGGAATTTGAACACTGTTCAGCCACTTCCCATTGTAAAAAGGAGACTTGCTGGGATCTGTTCCAGCTAGACGGTCGAACTCTCTGCCTTCAGACAGAGAGGAACCCGGACGAGGCTCTGCCGAAGGGTGGAGTCTCGTTCGGGGAGGCTGACCAACCCGATCCCGTTTATGTAGGTTCTACGGGCATTTTTTGGTCAAGCCTACGAGCTCAGAAGACCCACGTTAAACTCGGCCTTGTGCCACATCTACCCTCGTGGAGGGACTAGTAAATATTGACTTGCTGGGATCTGTTGAGTACGACTCAGACTTATGCATCCTTCTAGTAACCACTTTCAATACTACTTTACCTTCGCTATCTCAGATAATTACAAGTGGCTGAGAAATGCTGCATCTCAAACCTAAAAACTTTGTTTGGGGAACCCAGTCTTTAAGCATATTGTTAACCAAAGAACCTCAAGGAAAATCCTAGGTAGTGACCAAATTTCAGATGATAAAGTAACACGAAATAGACCCAAAATAAAAACAACAGGATTTTCTCACCCATGTAACAACAAAAGGATCTTATCTTGTAACCATACATGTTTAGACACATCAATTCCTTCACTAGTTCAGTCACTAAATCTACTTTCAAAATCTACCATATCTCTAACTGTAGAAGTCATAACATAATTTACTTATTAGAATGCACACTATGTCGGAACTAATATGTGGGAAAATCTGAATAGCCCTTTCACTAGAGAATTAATAATTATCGGAATCGGATTAAGTCGGCTTCCTACGAAAGATTATTACCTGTAGAACAACTTTCCGCCATGAAAAATATGATTTCATATCCATGCAGAATTCACTGTTATTGAAAGAATAGAAAAAGACACAAAATATTAACTTATGAAAATACTAGAAGAATATGAAGACAAATGGATTTTGCGCCTCAAAACACTTTGTGCAGACGGACTTAACAAAGGAAACAGCACAGATAGAATTAATATATAATAGAATAGATCAGCCACCCGTATTTATCTCTCACACGTTATAATCTATGCATGGTTGAATATAATCATGGCACAGTAGATAAAGGTGTTAGTCAGATCTAAAAAGGGTGTGAGTTCAATACCTGGTTAAGGTAGTGGAGAATTTGGAGAGGGGAATTAACAGGAGGTAACTGATAACTGGCATCTATTAAAAACATGGCACGTGGAACTAAAACAGTCTACCCCGGTGAGCGAAATAAAAGGTCCAGTTCGACATTCCTGCCACCTGAAGAAGTTTGAAGCGTAAAACGGCCGAAACGTTGTAATAAATATGGCGACAAAGATGAGGGCAATAGTCCGAATAATGTAAATAGTGTTCATAATACTTCACCTCAGAAATATAGACAGATATATACAGAAATATAGACAGATATATATATATATATATATATATATATATATATATATAGAGAGAGAGAGAGAGAGAGAGAGCCGCTTGAATATCGAGAAAACGTAAGACCTAAGTAACAGTCTGGACTTTGTCTCTTTTGAGGCATACTAATCCTATTAAAGGAAAATATGAGCCTCCTCGGCAGGATACGAATTTTAGAACTTTTTATGGTTTATTTGTACTCCTTGCTTTTCTCTTTCTTTTTTATCATTATTTTTCTCTCACTCTCACTATATACATTTCTTTTACCCTTTTTCTTCTGTTTTTATTTGTTTCTCTCTCTCTCTCTCTGCCTCTCTCTCTCTCTCTCTGCCTCTCTCTCTCTCTGCCTCTCTCTCTCTCTCTCTCTCTTTGCGTGATTGTTACTCTTCTTTTTTTCGTCTCTCCCATTTTTCTCATCTCTCAATTTTTTCTCGTTCTCACTCTCCCTCCCTTTCCTTATGTTTGTTTCAATTTTTTTTCTTTTTTATTATCTTTTGTCTCTCTCATCCTCTCTCTCTCTCTCTTTCTTTTAACTGCCTTCTTCCTCTTTTTTGTCATCTCCTCCTTTTTTTCATACTCCTTTTCCTTCCTTCCTTCCTTCTCTCTCCTCTTTCTTCCTACCTTCATGCCTTCTTTCCTTCTGTGTTTCTTTACTCTTATTCTTTCCTCCTCTACTTTTGCATTTCCTCCTCTTCACTTACGTTTCTCTCGCTTCCCTTCGTTTCTTTTATCCTTCTTTTTCCCCCTCGTCTGTTTTTGTCATCTTCTTTGTCTTACTCCCTTTCTTTACTGCCTTTCTTCCTTACTTCCTTCTTTCTTTCTTTCTTTTTATATTTCTTTTACTATTCTTTTACTCTTCTTTGCTTTTTTTCATCTCCCCCTCAACCTCCTCCCTTTCTTTATCTCTCACTTTCTTTCACCCTCATTCTTTCTCTCTATTTCTATTACTGTTCATTTTTCTCTCCTTTCTTTTACTCATCTCATTCTTTTTTTTTCTTCCTTTTTCATTTTATTCGTTCTACGTTTTAGCGCTTCTTACTTTCCTTTACTTCGCCTTCTTTCTTTCACCCCCTCCTTCCTCTGTTCTTTTTCTCATATCTCTCTTTTTCCACGCCTGCTTTTCTTTCTGTCGTATTATTCACTTTCTATGAAGAAAAACAACAAAACTTTGATCGGCCTGAACTAACGCCCACATATCAATCAAATTCACGAAGCCTGTTTCCCGGTCGCCATTTCTGCTTATCACTACCCATAGATCAACTGTTCTTTACCGCGGCATTTCACATTAGTGTGTGTGCGCACGCGCAAAGGCGAAAATCCGAGCGCATGACCTTAACATTAATATTTGCATAAACCGTATCGCGCATTGCATTTATAGATAGTTTAAATCAAAATGTTATGTGAACATCATACTAAAAACTACTGTTCAAACAAACGACAAGTCTTATAATATTAAGGGGTTAATAAGCATCTTAGAAATATGAAGAAGACTTGATTTTTCCTTTCGAAGGAACATGAAACAAACATAAAACTTTGTATAAGATGTTTTTCATCACAGTCTCAATGGCTGCTTTTAACAGTAACATTATTATACGATTTGCTTTGTCGGACGAGCATTCTCATCTTTGTTGTTATGCTACCAACGTTTACTGCATTCTTAAGATGCCTGTGATATTTTTCTCTGAATATTAGAGATGAGAAAATTATCATTATGATATGCTTTGCCGTTCGGATCATCATGTTCATCTTGGTCATCTTGGTTCATATAAAAATTTCGGCCATTGTAAACCCAGGAATATTTCCCGTGTTTGTTGAATTTTTTCCCTGAATATTTGAAATTAGGAATTATTATTAACTAGCAGCTATACCCAGCTGGTTGATCAGAAAAAGCGTTCAATTAGAATGGAGCAAAAACAGCATCATGTTTAGATGTAACAGAGTCTATCTTTATGAAGTTTGATGAAAATTGGTTGAAAGAACATCGAAAAATAAGAAGGAAACCAGTAAAAATCACGATTTTCCGCTATTTACACGGGTTTTCACTATATGGGTGGATTCAATTATCAAAATAAATGATTGTTGAAAAAATCAACTTATTGTTGGCTACAATTGAATGATGTTTATATTAGATTGTTTGAAAATTGAGAGAGTTTTTAGTTTAAAATTTGTGTTGAAATCAATTTTTCGTTTTTCGCTAAACGCCGTGGCGTAGAAATAAAAAAAAATGAGGTATCGTTGAGAACGTCGTAATATAAGTAACCTATATACCGAGCTTGAACGAAATCGGAGAAAAAGTTGAATTTATACGTTTTTTGATCGGCTTTATCGATTATTGATTTTGTAAAATTATGGATTTCTTATGCTAAGAACCTATCTCTTACATTGTACAATGTATGTGCCACGTTTGGTCAAAATCTGTTAGATTGAGTTCGAGTGAAAAGGTATCGCAGAGACAAACACAGATATCCTCTATTTTAGATATATATATCGATTAACTAATATACCCGTACCGTAAAAACTTTACGGAATTTGTTATAAATTTTTAATAGTGAGATGCAATGAAGCAAAAGTCTTGAAACAATGTCTTGATGTTCGATAAAAGCGGAGATAAAAAATTCACAACTGAAACAGATGTTAATGAACCGTTTATTCTGTCCACTTTATATTTCCTCAAAGTTCAGTCGTATCTCTGATTCATTGATTACTCCTGGTATTATATAAATCGCTTTTTGCTCAAGATCTTTCCACGTTAAAACTTTTATATACTTAATATAATAATGAAATTGAAATATCTGTCGGAAGAAAAAGATTAGCAGCAGAACGACAAGCCTATTTCAAGACAAAGTTAATGGAAGACGATCACTTAATAGACAAGGGTATTTGAGAACCTCTCGTGAAAGGCTTGAACAAATAAGACTTCATTCCCTTTCCGACCGCCATAACGTATCTGCCCTATATCTTGTCTATAAATACTTTCATGATAAATATTCTGATTTACTTTCCGCTATGGTACCTCGACTTTACGAATTTAATCACAGTACTAGATTGATGACAAAGTCTTGCCAATCTACATTTGTCATTCTACAGGCTAGATATAACCGTAAGTTCTATGCTAACAGTTTCTCCTATCGCACTTTTCACTTGTGAAACTCTCTTCCGGCTTCTTGCTTCACAGTCAACTTTGATGTTCAAAAATTTAAATGCAATTTCAATCGTTATCTTCTGTCTTCTAAATACTTTTTCTAAATACTTTTTCTTCTACTGTGCTCTCTCCTTAACACTAGTTTTTTCTCATATTCTCTAACACTAATAACCTTTTGCATCCATTTAGCTTTATTGCCTTGCTTGGAGTGAAATGATTTTAAAAAAAAAACTACAATCTAAAAAACACCATAAAAGTAAAGGAACTGATTAATTAAACGGTTCATGTTGTTCGGGAAGTAATTTTGTCTAAATGCAGATAAATATTTCATTTCTATAGATTATTAAAACGACAAAGGGAAGTAATCGCTTATAAATTTACTAACATAAGTCGATTTACCTCCCTTCCCACTACAGATGGGACAGGAAATATATAAATAAATACACATTGATAATTATCATATGATTTACTTATTATTATTATTATTTGCTTTACTATTCAAACCAGCATTCTCATTATGGTTATTATACGTGTAATTGATAGAGGCACATGATTTACTTGATTAAGACATTAGTTAAAACATATTAGTTTTGTTGGCTGTTGTGAGTTCAATCCCTGTGTTTGGTACTTAAGGAAAGTTACCTAGTCTGGTTCAGTAGAATTAAGAGACTAAAAATACAAATGTGCATAAAAGCGACTAGTAGTCTGAACCGAATTTTATTCACAGAGGTAGATTCTTCTCACACAGATTCCCATACTAAGGGGAGATAACTGATATTAGTTGCTGTTCACTAGCTTTATTCAACGTAGTGTTGCTTGTCCGTTTCTTAGACTCAATTTAGTGTTTCCTACCAGGCGCAGAGATTGAACTTGCAACTGCCTTGAAACCATTAAGCTATATGAGTTTTGAAAACAAGAAAATAGATAAGAAAATCTTCGTTCACTTTTTGTATTTTACGTATATTGATTGATTGATTTTTTTACGGTTTGTCTACCCTCTGCAGGTTATTTAAAACAACAAATTATTTCAGATTGTAAGAATTATTGGGGGATAGTAATGATTTACTGATACAGGTTCCACTAATTAACCCATAGCTGGGGAAAAATCGTGGATTCATACCATTCCAAGCGGTATTTGCGCATAATGTAACGAGTAGAATTGAACCTCGACTCACCAATTTCCAATTTAGAGACTTTATTACACCACCCATATATTCAAGCTTACAGCACCTGATATTCCCAAACGGTCACCATTGTAGTTAATGACTAGTGTCAACGTTGCTTAACTTCGATGATCATATCTATATTTTATGTATAACAGTTCTGAAGTTTGCTTGGCTTTTTGCTTTTTTGCTTCATTTTTTATGAGAATATTTTATGATTATTAGCTTCTCGAAAATTGCAACCAATGAACTGAGTTCGATTCGCGATCGAGTCCGTTACTTACCCTTTCTTGGGAAAGGCATTATGGGTCTTTTCTCTAGCTTCATGTTAAATAACCGAACTGTATATACCAGTTTTTCCAAAACATTTTTCTCTGAGCCGAATTTTCGGAATTAAAATTTGTTCGCGCCTCACTAAATTTTATGTGATAAAAAGTGCATTTAAAAATAAAAATAGAGAATTTTAAAGGGAGATAACAACGGATTCGAAGTCAGAACATTATCATTGATAACTCACCAATTTGGGGAGCCTAGTTACTATATTCTTAAGACGTGATGAAAAAATATGACAATAATAAAATTGGCCAATAATTAATTTAAAACTATTTCTACTGGGACTCACGTATGCAATTACAAGTAATTGCTAATAATATTTAAAATTTTGAAATCATATTTATTTTTGGAATTTTTTTTAAAAATGTTTACAAATCTTTGATTGTCTTTCAATCATTCCGCCTCACCTGTTATTCCTTCCGCCTCACCTGCTATCCTCTTATTCACCTGCTTCCTTTTGCCTGCATCCTCTTGCTATCCTCTTCCGGCTCACCTGCTATCTTCTCTTCACCTTCCTCTTTCGGCTACCTCTATCCTCTTCCGCCTCAGCTGCTATCTCTTCCGCCTTCCTGCTATCCTCAGCTGCATCCTCTTCCACCCTCTATTCTGCTTCACCTTCTATCCTCTATTCTTCCGGCTCTGCTATCCTCTTTTGCTCACCTGCTATCCTCTTTGCTATCCCTTCCACCTCACCTGTTATTCTCTTCCTGCCTCACCTTGCTCATCCTCTTCCACCTCGCCTCCTGCTATCCTCTTTTCCAGCTCACCTGCTATCTCTTCACCTCACCTGCTATCCTCTTTCGGCTCACCTCCTCTTCCGCCTTTCAGCTGCTATCCTCTTCCGCCTCAGCTGCTATCTATCCTCTTCCCCTCCGCCTCTTCCGCCTCTTCTGTATCCTCTTTTCACCTGCTATCCTCTTCCGCCTCACCTGCTATCCTCTTCCACCTCACCTGCTATCCTCTTTCCTCTTCTTGCTTCACCTGCTATCCCTTCTTCCCACCTGCTATCCTCACCTGCTATCCTCTTCCGCCTCACCTGCTATCCTCTTCCACCTCACCTGCTATCCTCTTTCGGCTCTGCTTCACCTGCTATCCTCTTCCACCCCTCACCCTATCCTCTTTCGGCTCCTCTTCCGCCTCACCTGCTATCCTCTTCACCTCACCTACTATCCTCTTTCGGCTCACCTCATCCCTTGCTATCCTCTTCACCTCACCTGTTATTCTCTTCCGCCTCACCTGCTATCCTCTTCCACCTCACCTGCTATCCTCTTCTGCTTCACCTGCTATCCTCTTCCGCCTCACCTGCTATCCTCTTCCGCCTCACCTGCTATCCTCTTCTGCTTCACCTGCTATCCTCTTCCGCCTCAGCTGCTATCCTCTTCCGATGACATCCTCTCCATCTATCCTCTTCTGCTTCCTACCTGCTTCACCTATCCTCTTTCAGCTGCCTCACCTGCTATCCTCTTCTGCTTCACCTGCTATCCGCCTCAGCTGCTATCCTCTTCCGCCTCACCTACATCCTCTTCTCTTCACCTGCTATCCTCTTCC